CAATACTGGAAATCTTAGCAAATGGTTAGAAAAAATGTTTTTTTATTAGGTGGTCCTGGAAATATCTTAAGTCCAACTCTGCCACTCCCTCATTTTTTGTGTTTATCTATGACACGCCACACCTTATGTTTATCTCGGTCTCACGAAAAGTGATCTTTAGAAAATTTGACACTTAAGTGGGAAATACACTGTCTTGGCAGTGCTGACCGGTAACAGGTTTTGAAAATGAAAGTAAGTAATGTGAATTCTATGAGAAAATGAAAACAAATCTTGCCCTTTGAAAGATTCAGAAACCTGGGAGTATATTCAAGATCATGCAGAAGCTCTTAACCTGTCTTTGAGTCAGAAAAACATCATTCTCGAGAAATTCACTCTTCTGAGTTAGAGTGGAATAAAGGCAGAATGAATTGCTTATTGAAGGAAGTTTTCTGTAAAAAAATATATAACAATTTAGTAAATAATTTTACAGTTGAAATTTGCAATTTAAAATGATTAATTTGATGATTTAATAAATTTAAAATTTCTACAAGTGTCATGTAACGGATGACTTCAGAGTGTGGAGAAACCCTCTACATTGGTGAAAGAGTAAAATATGATGTTGGGTGTGATTGAGCTGGTCTAAAAATTTTAAGATTTTGACACTAGGATTTAGTTCAGATGAAAAACTTTAGCATTTTTAAAAATTATCATTATTATTTTTTGGAAGGGGGGGAGTATCTTCCTCTGGTCAACTCAAAATTTAGAATTACTTTACAACGTGTGACATGCATCATATATTGACTAGAAACTGTAATTGTAATACTAAATGGTTTATTTACCCAAATAAGTGTTGATATTTCATCAATGAGTTGGCTTTGTTAGTATTTTACTACTGCTACTGGTAATATAGTCTTTATTTTTTCTTAAGTTTTACAGCTTTATATACTAGTTAGAATACGTGTGCTAAGATTTTTTTATTACTATAATTTATCTTTTAAAATACTATAGACACTTTCAGTATGGGCTTGGTCAATTTGACCGACCACGTGACCTTTTTTGTACCCGTTTAAAGTCTTTATAGATTTAATACTTATAACTCTCAATTTCGTGGGTATATCTTCATGAAATTTGGCAGTCTTTCAGTTAATATTACAAGTCTTTCACATACAAAAACTCGTATTTATTAGTGAAGTATTTTTAATAAAATAAAAGATTTGTCCATGAATATATTGAGTATTTGATTTGAATAGTTCATGTACAAAGTAATTTTCATGTTAAAATTAAAACTTTTCCTCATCTGAATAATCTCAAATTTCCTTTTTGTAATCCTTAAAACCTCCTAAATGCATTTCAAAGTTTTTTTCAGTAAAACTTTATAGTTTATCACTTATT